GAGCAAATTTACGTAGAACATAACAATGTTCCACCAGTGAAGTACTCCCTGAGTGCAAATGCCCGTGAGGCTTTTTTTCAAATTCACAAAGCCTCAAGATAAGTTGCCAAGCACACAAAGGGCCAGCGTGGAAAAGGAAGCCAACTGCAACAATTCTAAGCGAAACAAACACGTCCTCCGCCTTACTCATAAATTTAATAAATAAAAAATGACTAGTTTCTTTGCTTGCTCTTATCGGTTATAAAGCTTTGTTTTCTTTCCAGTAGTTTTCATACCCAAAAAAGTCTTCTGGGGAGGAGGGGAAGTAACATCTCTAGAACCACACACTCATTTTTAGGGGTATTAATTTTGGCATTTGAAAGGACCAGGTTTACAACTGTAACAACATCAATAACTGCAAGTTCAGTACTGTACTTACAATTTAAGAGTACGAACGAAAACTTCTCCTATGCTAACATTGTATCAAACTCTTGGTCATGGAACAAGGAAGCCAACATGCATGCCCCTTGGCCATTAGCAGAAATGGACTTCACCAGAATTACTCTATTTTTGTAAAAATTTTTATGTGCCCAGTCTTCCATGGTGTCAGAACTTAAAAAAGAAATTCATTTTTAAACCTCCCTGAGTTCCCTTACATGGATGAATTAAGAGAGAAAAGGTATTTGCCATTTACCAGACCATGAAAATATAAACTCCAACTAAAAGTAAAATAATTTTAACTTATGGTGTTTTTAAATTTACCTTTATCATTGGCCAGCAAATTTAATGGCTCTGCTAAGGTGATAAAAGTGGGTGTGGCAAATGAGGATGTTACCCTTGAAATCTTAACTGTGAAAGGGCCATACACAACTGCCCACCGCGTCTACACAAGCTTTTCCTCGCACTGCCTTCCAAATGTCAATCTGGTCCAAAAGTCCAGGCAAGATCTGGCAGCTGCTGGTCTTGGCATATTTAAAGTCATTAACAAACTGAAAATTTTTTTATAAAATGCTGCCCAGAGATGACCTTCAGCAGAAGCTGGCCAAATATAACATCTCTGTGCAAGACTACAAAACAACATTCCTGAAGTATGATGACAAGCTTACTGCAAGCAATATCTTGACAATGTCAGAGGGTCATCCATTTCAAGCTGAACTCAATGCCTTTAGAGAGAGAGAAACATTGTCACCACTGTTTTAGCTAAAAAGAATGTTGAAATAATACTGTTACATGAAATTATTATGAACAACTTTAATAGAGATTTAATTGACAGAAATTGAGAATACATGTACCTTTCAATAGATATTTATTTAAGGGAAACTGAGAATACTGTGAAATAGACATTTATAAGAGAAATTATGAAAGACGTTGTGTAGATCTAGAAAATATCCGTACTACCCCCACAGAAGGGATTGGAAATTCCAGGACCAGAGGGTAGGGTCTCAGAGACCCAAAAATTCAAAGCAATGTATGGAGCTAAATTGGAATTTCCAGAGGCTTGATGGGGTGATAGGGAAGATGTCTTTCACGCTGGGGATATAGATATTTTTTGGAACTACACATTCACTCGAGAGAAATATTAATACCTGTAAATTGAGACATTTAATTGAAAGAAATTATGAACTGCCATTGAATAGAAACTGAGAAATTATAAATACCAAAAAAATTGAGACATTTTAGAGAAAGAAAGTAAAGACATTTATTTAAAAGAAAAAAGTTGAATACCAAAAAAATATATATTTGTTATAAAATGTTACAGTTTTAAAATATGTTTGAATAATACAATGCAGATACCTGACACTTAACATGTTATTCATTAGAGATTATTTCTTGCTACCAACACATTCTTCTAGCAGGTATGGCCATTTGAAATCCCATTTATGCAGTTCTGGTTGTTAAATTGAATCTTTGCTAAAATTGAAACAAGCATAATTGAAATAATTAAAGATGTTTTTATTTAAGTTAGGCGTAGGAGCAACCCAAGATGTTGAAAGCTACCAAAAGATACACAACTTTGGTAAACACTTCATTTCTTGTGATAAAACTGCGAATTCATCAACCCATTCGACACACACTCAATCTCTGACTAATGGGAAATACTGCTGGCGAAGGTATGTGTGCCTGCTCGCTGTTTACTTCCGCTTGAACCGGAAATGAAAAAAAAATTACGTGGAACCACGAGAACCAAGAGAACCAGAAGAACCAAGAGGAAAGTGAAAACCACGAGAACCACAAGAACCAGAAATACACAATTACTGCTACTAAGAGTTATATTATGTGAAGTCCGATAGTATAAGAACCACAAGAACCAGAGAACTACCAAAAACTACACAATTACTGTGACTCACTGTTACATTCATGCGAAATCTGATAGTGAGCAGCTCATGACGTCAGCTGTGGCTATTACATCGGAGATAAGCCACAACTTCCCACTCTGTCAGGCCAGAAAGAATTGAAATCAGCTGTTTGATGGGTCTTAATGAAGAAAAGGAAATTGTTCGTGCCTTTTTGTTGGTGCTAAAAGACACAAATGGCTCAGCAAAGCCCTCTGTAGACTTAGTTACTCTTAGTAACACGCAAAAAACCGCGTAGGGGATGTCTCAGATAATTTCACTTTGGAATGGGTTCCTTACCCGTCGTTGTACAGCAAGACATCTGAGAATGGCCTCCAGCCATAACCTGGACTCCAACCTCATGATGGTAGCCACTTGAATCTGGGTGTTAAGGATCTGGGAGGCTTTTACAGGTAAACCTGCAACTCTTCGACGACTAAGGTTGTACAGTGGGACAAGCATTGACACGCCAGTGTCGACAAAAAAATCGATGTCTATGCCGGCATCTCCAGCCCCCTTTAGGCAATCTTTAATTCTTTTGGTCAAAGTGACCTCTTCATTTGCTTCTTCTTCGACATCAACGTCCATTTCTTTGTCCCTTGCAACCATTTCGAGCACTTCTTGTACTGAAAAATTAGCCACCATTTGAAATTAGGCGCCAATGCCGCAGATAACCGCTGAACAAAATGAATGGCGAACTTGAGCAATTTTGAGTCACCCTGTGCCCACCGTGTACTGTAGTCGTAATTCCAAGTATTGTTGATTTTTGTAGATGACCTTGAGATTGCGAGGAAACTAGGGAAAGCGTCGCAGTATTTATTAAAGACACAAGATTATGTGGAAAGTGCTTGGTTACTAGGAATGTCTACGTTCCGTACATTAGGTGGTTGCTTAGGATTGTCTGATGACGAGTTAGAGGATATAGCACATGATGTAGAATTCTTAGAGGATCACATGGATAAAAAACAATTGTACTTTATTTCTTAGATCGGATTTTTGCATGTGCCTTGACGAACAAAGAGCATCTAGAAATTGAATGGTTGATTGGAAGTGAAACAAAGCTAGAAGAACTCACTAAAGCAGATCATGTCGAGCTGGCTTGGTTACTAGGAATGTCTACATTCCTTAAATTAGCTAGAAGAATGGGGATGTATGAAAAAGAGATAGAATGTATTGCTCATCGTGTAGAATTTAAGATGGATCAATAAAAGTAACGGTAAAACCTATTTGTCTCATTATATGTCTACATCACGGGGAGATGCATCAAAAGAAAACAAAACCAACGAGGGGGTGCTTCTATTTGTAAAGTCAATAGAATCCTACGTCGAGGCCCTTTAACGACAGATAAGATAGCTTATGTCCCAAGCATGCTTTTGTCCGGGCCTGCACCGGGGTTTGGGAAACTTGGAAGCTTATTGGGTAAACAAGTATTCAAAGGTGTCATGGATAATGTGACACATTATAAGAAAAGGCGAAAATAACTTTTGGGGGTAGATCAAAATGCCTCTGCGGTGGAGACGATGTCTACAATACTTTCATTATCACATGATCGCATACCTTTGTTGTAAAATTGAAAACATGGTCTATACAAAGAAAGACAGAATTCTTTACAAATGGGTTCCTCAAAGTTGTGACGTGATGTTGTATGAATATCTAGTAAGACCCAAAGTCTATCCATTCTCGGATCGGATTTTTCATCTCATGGTATTCATGAGAGTTTATAGGGGAAAGTATACTTATACAACATGGAATTATTTGTATACACAGTACCTTTCCAAGTATTGGATCACGTACTACTGTGTTAGACTATGGTGTTCATTGCTGCGTCTTGAAAGCTATGAAAAGATATCATGTCTAAGAAAAAGAAGAGAAAAGAATCCGCAGACTACGAAACACCAGGTATGGTCAAAAGATCAGGTGGTGTCGCACCGTAAGCAAAAGCACAAAGAATCTCTACTTCTCAAGCCAGGAAAGAGTTAGAAAAAATTTAGCGTATACCTTACACAAACCTAGACAGTGGCGTGGTGAGTTCTTACCCGTACTGGTCTATAACACCAACAAACAATGGGTCGCGGATTTGATCGAAGTGCGAGCCATTACCAAACAGAATTAAGGGTATCGATACATGTTGGTGGTGATCGATGCCTTTTCAAAATACGCATTGGCACAACCAATTAAAAAGAAAACGGGAAAAGAGGTGACGGAAGCCTTTGGTAGAATTTCAAAAGAAGCCCAAGGCAGAAAACCTCAAAAGTTAGAGACAGATGCAGGAAAAGAATTTTACAGCGGTACATTACAAGAGTTTGTAAAGTCACATGGAATTCATCACTTTTCTACACATGGAGATGCCAAAGCCAGTGTGGCGGAAAGATTTATTCATACATTGAAATCCAAATTGTACCGATATTTCACAGCCGCCAATACCTTGAAATATGTGGATGTTTCCAAAACTGGTGGATCAATACAACCGCACCTTTCAGCGGAGTATTCAAACCACCCTTGCCAAAGTCACACCGGCTCAGAGGGAATAAGTATGGAATCATTTGTAAGGTAAATGGCAGAAAAAAAA